CATCTTGATTGTCAATTTGATTGGCTTGGGAGACACCTAGGAGATTAGCAAAGTACATTGCCTGTCTAGGGGGCAGGGCATGGGATTATGATCTTGAGGACTATATCTAGTTACTGGCTTTTTCCTATTTGGCACTGTTTTTCTGTTCTCTACTTCCCCACTACCATGAAATGAGCAGCTTGGTTAGACTCTTCTGCTGTGTTTCTGCTTTGGAGCCAGCTGACCATGCAGTGAAACCTCTAAAACCATGAGCCAAAGTAAACTTCTTCAAATTCTGGGTGTGTCAGCTACAGTGGCACCTTAGTTCACAAACTTAATTCTTTTCATGACTCTGTTCACAGAATTAAGTTTAACTGAGGTACCACTGTATATTGTCCCAGAAGTGGGAAAGCTGACCAATACACCCACCCACTCAGTTGAAAAATTTTCAACTCAGGACCACTGAAGTTACTGATGCAATTTCTTATCAGTTTATAGATTAAAACAAAGATATGTTAATGAAGACTGATTATGTACAAAATTCAATGAGCCCCTCTTTGATATCGCAGCCTACATCCACAGATTTTAAATGGGATTGGTTTTCAATATGTTTCCACCATGTTCAAGTAGCCACTTGCCTACTCCTTCCATATAGAAAAACTTATTTCCACTTAATATGATTCAGTGAATCTATTGACTGATTGAATCCTGCATGATTTTATTCTTCTCATGTAGCTCACCACATATCTAAAGTCACGGTAATGGCATCTCTTCAGATCCTGTTTTCCCAATTTGTTCGTGCTATTGTGGCAATTCTGCATGCCAATGGAAAACTGGAGGATCTGTTGATATTTCACAAATAATACTTCCTAAAGTGGGTTACACTTTTCTAAAAAGAAGCTATCAAATGAATGTAACCTTTCCTTATTGATAATGTATTTAAATGTGTTTAAATTGCTGAGCTTCAATGATTTATTTCCTGTTTAATGTGTAGATGGATATCATGTACAGATAGCTAATAACACCCTAGAATTCATCTTTTTTTTTTTTTATATAAAAGTGAGTTTGGAAGTCAGTAGTTCATGGCTAGTACCACAGTGGGAGGCAATCATCAAAAACACAGGGTTTTCCAGCTGCCTTTCTTGTCCTCACCATGACACTCTCACCCTTAGAGTCATGAGTATCCATGATCACATAAAGGCACATACTGGAGCCTTTAATATCATCGTGTGCAGGTGTTGTGGTTTAGATCATGGGGTACTGTACTCACCAGTGGACTCACACACTGGTGAGTTCAGCAGCTGACTGTGCAGTTGGAAGGGGGTTCTGATCAGAAGAGGCAGGTCACCGGGGTGTGACCTGTAAGGGCATATCTCTCTCCCTGGCTCCTTCCCTCCCACTCTGTTTCCTGGCTGCCATGTTCTGAGCAGCTTTCTTCTGGTCAGGCCCTTCTGCCATGCCATTTCTGCCTTCCAGCCAGCCAACCATGGACTGAAAACATATGTCAAAATAAACCTCTCTTCCTTTAAGTTGTAGCTGGTGGATATTTTTTCCCAGAGATAAGAAAATAACTAAAACTAGAAGAATTTTTAATGGCATAAAAATGCTTATGCTGTATTACTTGATAAAAGCAGTAACTGAGATGCAGATATACCTTATACCATTTTTATAAAATGATTCTGAGTGTGTATGCAAAACATTATATATTAAGTGACACACAGTGGTTACCTGTGTAAGTAGGACTTTAGATGAATCTACTTTTTTGTATACCTGTATTTTCTATGATAATATGCAGTGTTTTTATAATACAAATATAAATTAAAATTATCCTAATAGGAGGAATTTTCCTTTCCCCAAAGCCTCACCAAATACACTTCCATTGATAAAACCTTTGGCAGAATTAGATTATTAGGTCACTCATATCTGCCAAGGAACAACATAAGGAGATAAATATATATGCCCTACATAAAATTTGGATTTTGACGTTAAATAAGAATATGTATTGAATAGGTAAAGAAAGTGTCTCCATAGATGCTGTATGTGCTTTTTATTTAATGATTTCTAACTTGTAATTTGCCTGAAAGAGTGATCTATAAGTGCATGTTTATATCTAAAGATTACATATTACAATATTCTTCTGTGAAGTCACAGTTCAGAGTTCACGGCCTCAGTGGTTGGCAGATTTTTCCTTAGAACCCAACTAATAATTGTTTGCAGAAACCTCTGCCATTTTGTGGAGCTCACAAATATCTTCTACAATTGTTGTTTTGGCAGGAGGTTTGCAAGTGGTCAATCCAAAAGTGTTATTCAACTCTCCCAGCTGCTGATTGGCTGCTGCCCTGTAACCTGCACCTTTAAGGCTTTATTAGTACAGTATTTTATTAAATTAAATTACATAACTGTGGGAGACATAGCATATTTAGGGCTTAAATTATAAAACAAGCATTATTGGAATTTTTCTGACTATATCTGAAATTCTGTTTTTCACAATTTGCAAGTGCTCTAGGAACCCCCATGAATTTCGGGGGTTCAGTGTAGTTTGTACATAAAAGAGATCAGAGAACTACGCTGTAGATAAAGCATTCTTGGATTCAAACCTGGATTCTAATCCTATTATTCCTGTTTCCTGTTCTGAAAAGTGGAAATAACAGCTATTTGTATGACTCTTCAAAAGGATAATGTCTGTGAAGTTCAACCTACAGAAAGAGATAAATGTAGGGTTGGACTTATCAATAAAGTTCCATGGCATGGCCACTCCTAGGGAGCCAATTCTAATATCTTCTATAGTGTGTGAGGCATATCTGTATTTCAGGGGTAGAATTTCACAATTTCTAAGGTTATTAATTCTATTTTTAGAAATACCTGACTAGTGGCAAGTTCTGTGTTTTATTAACTCAAATCTGTCTTCTATTTTTATAGTGTCTTGCTAAGGGTAGAACTTCTACAAATTAAGCAGTAGAACTTCTCTTGGAGTTTAAATGTATTGTATGACAAATAGATACATTTTCCTGTTCAGGGTATTAGATTTGTGGGTTATTATTTTCAATATATATAATTTATATTTATTTCAAGAGGAAGATAATCCTTAAAATGTTTTCTATTGCAGTAATATTTGTCTTAAATGTTTGTTGTCAGTGTGACAGTGTGCCTTCATAAATTAGTTTTGATATTACCTAATTAATGAATATGAATGTCCAGTTTTTCCATTTCCTTTCAGGGCGAGCACGTCTGGTACTCAGAAGCACTGCTGAAATCTCACACAAAGAGGGTTAGTTGATGAAGCTTCTTGAGTATTGTCAGTGCCAATGAAAGCAACTTGGCTTCCTCTGAATGTTTCCTTTCATGCCCTCAGTACTGTGCAAGTGTCTAAAACTACACGTGTCTTTCTGACAGTTTTTTGCTTCCCTGATACTCAGACCAATATCAAAGGCATTCCTCTATCTTTTTGGTACGTTAGCTGGATCTCAGAGAATCATCCAAGCCTGATGTTTTCATGGGACCGAAAATCAATAGGCCCATCTGCCCCACTGGAAGTGACACTGCCATCTGGCTTTAGGAAATTGGATCATGGCTTACCGCTTCAAAGTGAACTAGTAGTAAATCTTTCTTGTGTTGCAGCATAAAACACAATCATGAAAGGACTGGCTTTGAAAGGTGGAAAGACGCATTTTGCAGTGCACCTCAGCTTGTTTTTACCCACAGACGCTGACTGAGAAACCTTCAATGCAATATAATTAATGAGACACCTATTACATGCCAGAAGTTTTATAATCATTATCTTTGACACTCACAAGAACCACACATAGGTTTTATTCCCTCACTGTGGTGTTCCTAAGCTCAGAGACATGAACTGAGATGTCCAAGGATGTGCAGTGAGCAGAAGTGCATGTTGGAATTGTACCTGCCTGGGTTCATGGCTTTCACACATCTACTTTGCAGGACAGGAAGTAGGCTTCCTGTTTCTGTGCCATTTGCTTATACTATGGAAAACAGTAAGTTCTTAAAAATTTGTAATTACTACTTTTTATAAAACCATAATCACTCTAACATCTTCCAGAGCCAGAAAAAGAGTCATTGAAAGACTTCCCTGAATTTTCTTTTGGCTCATGTTTGTCATTCTGACCTCCAGTTCCCTCTCAATTGCAAAGATTTGTTTTGTGACTTGAAAACAGATTTAAGCCAACTTAACGTCCATTGACCAGAGGGAAAACTTATGTAGCATGTAAATGTGATTCGTAAAAAAATTTTATTGTTTTTAGTTAAAAATCACTTGGTGATTTTACACAAGTTTCACTTAGAAAAGGAGGAGGCTAGACCGGATGTGCCACTATCCCAGCTGAAGAACAAAAGGCTTCAGCAGGTGAGTCTCTTTTCATCTAAAATCATGATCTATAAGGATTTTGTACTGCCAGCTCAATGTATATTTAAACTAAACGCTTTCATCTTTATTGCTGGTTGAAACAGACTTTCTTGGAGTATCACAGCTGGACAATTCCTTTACAATTTCCAATATCAATTCTCTAGTTGACAGTACCAACCATGTTTTAGAACTATTACAAAACTAATTTGAGGAGTCATTTTCTGTGGCAAACTGTATACAAGGAAAAAAACTCCACCATTCTTTCTGTGTGGTCTCTAGAAAATAAACTCTTTCTATCCCTGTGGTTAAAACTAGAATACTTTTAAATTGTAGAAATTGCATTTGCTTGTAAAGTAACAGATATTATTTTTAGAGAAGATTTTATATCTATCTATCTATCTATCTATCTCAACCATGTATGGTAAAATGGCACGAATTAAAGTAATGCAAATGCACAGAATTCACTAATTTCATCTCTATATTTACTTTTCATTAACAAATTCCCACTTTCTAAAATAAACAGAATTTAAGGAATGGGCCTGAGAAATTTAATTTTTCATGAAACTTTTCCATACCACCTTCTCTTCATGAAAGTCTCTAAGAATTCTGATTTGCTGGAGTAGATTTAACTTTTACTAAAGTCAGAGTGGACACTTGCTCACCTTCAAGATTCTGGCTGCAAAAATACCTTGGAATTGGAGTTCACAGATGGACTTGAATTCACTTGAATTGGCCACTGATAAGTTCTTAGACAAAAGCAGGCTGAAGGTCAAACCTGGAACATGGAACAGAGGCTACAGTTTGGTAGAAGACTGAGAATTTTAGGAAGGACATGTTGGGATACTACATGGTCACAGTGAGTTGAGAGAAAGAAACCATGGGTGAAGCTCATCTAACAGGATATGATACCTTTCTTTGTCTTATCTTCTTTTGCCATATATCCTCCTAGATATTTCAGTTATCAGGGATTAAAATATCATTGTCATGCAGTCACTACTGAATTTATATTTAAGTCCAGATCTCCCTTCTAAGCAGCAATCTCACAAACTTACAGCTACATGGCATCTTTACTAGGACATCTCACAGCTTAGGCTTCAAAATAGAAATCTTGCATTTTCCACCCCTTCGTCTTTCTCCCCCATTCTTTGTCTGAGTACATGGCAAATCTACTGTCCTATCAGTTGCTCAAGTCAAAACATCATCGCTTTGCTTCACTCACGTAAGTCCTGATGATTCTATTTCTAAAAGATTTCTTGAATCTGTTTGCTTTTTTGCAAGCATTTTCATCACAAAGTACAAAGTAACACTATTACCGAGAGGGTGGTGCTGACTTCCTCACCTAGTTTTTACTTTCATTCCAGTCCCTCAATAAATCATTGTTTGTCAGCTGTGAGTAAATTTAAAATGTAAATTGTGTCATCTTATTCTTTTTCTTGACTTTCCCAGCGTTATTCATTGAACTCAGAATAAAACCCAAAGTCCTCTCAGTGATTTAAAAGTCCTTCACTGCCTAATCATAGCTCATCTTTCATTGACCTGCCCCAGCACACTCCCACCATAGCCCTCTAAATCCTGCGTTAGTAGAGTTTTCCAGGTGCGTCCTATCTTTCTGCATGTGCCGAGGCTGTGCCCAATGTTTAGAACATACCCATTCTACATTTCTGCATGACTAAGGCAGTCTCTTCCTTTAGGGCTCAATTTAAGGCCTTCCCTGACCGCGTTTCCTCAGGTAAGTTTACTGATGTTACAGCAGATTCTTGTTTCCTTCGAAATTATTATTACAATTCACAAATGTTAGCATGTTTGTCTATTTTTGTTTTTATTTCTGTTACCCTTCCTACAATGTACACTCCATGTCTTTTTATTTGGTATGTTATCCTAACCATTTGTTAAATACGTGAATTGATTGATTAGTCAAGAGTCTAACTTGTAGTTTGAGAAAACACCAAGAGCAGCCTGGTCAGAAGTCACTCTGGTCAGGGCCAGTTTCCAACAGGCTCTGGGTTAACATCAGGACTAGGAGTTCCTTCATAGTTTCTAACCAGTTTAAGGATCTATTACATTCATTACCAATCTCAGTCTTTCCATCTGCTAGTTGTTAAAGAAGTAGTGAAATTACTGAACATTTCAAAAACTAGAGCAATCAGAGTAGCTTTGTCGCAGACTAGAGAAGATTCTCCGAGTCTCAAGAGACTGCTGAGTCATTGGTTTTGCGGGCTTCTCATAGGAAGTAGGACCTGAAGGACCGTCTGGTGGCAAAATGAACCGCCAGCAGATGGCAGCAAAGAGTTACTTCTTGCATGCTTCCCCTTTCATTTTACCCCAATTAAGATTAAACTATGGGGGCTGGGGATGTAGCTCAGTGGTGGTCCTGAGTTCAATCCCTGGTACTTCCCCCCAAAAAATGAATAAGAAAAAAGAATATTAAACTATGATTATTTTCTAGGTATACTTAAAACATCAATGGATTTTTTCTTTTGATATTTATGTGTTTATTTCAGACACTTCTAATTTATAAATTAAATGGATAATGTGATATCTTCAGAAAAGAAAAAAATGTAAATTTGCAAATTTATTCAATTAAAAATAAGATTTTTTTCATAAAACATTAGAAATTTATAAGCAACATAGAACATATGTGAAAAATAAATTATAAGAAAGACATTTTATATTTGAAAATGAATTCATTCACACCAGATCAGGTGGTGCGTGTCTATAATCCCAGCATGGGGGAGGCAGAGGCAGAAGGGTCCCTGAGCGTTTGAGGACAGTCTAGGTTAAACAGTGAGTTCAAGACCCTCCTGGATTATATAGCAAGATCCTGTCACAAAGAATCAAACAAAAAGTAATTTAGCTGACACAATTCTGACAAAAAGAGGAAAGATATGCACTGTTGTATCAGGTGTTCTCAGTTGTAATACAGTGTCACCTAAGTAATTTCTGTAATCATCATAATCATCTTGCTTTCCTTTTAGAATTGAACTACTTATGCTGCATAAGAGCCTTCACTGTTATGAGCCTTAATAAGCTTCACTTGCAATACATACCATCACTTCCCCATCCATCATTCACTGTAGTCCTGATAAACTCCCTATTCCTGGAACACTGTACTCACTTAGCACTTCTGCTCACACAGGCCCAGGGTGGAGACTATTCCAAGAGCTCTTTTTACCCAACAAGCTCTTACTTAGTTTTCAACACTCATCTCAAATATAGCTCCCTCTGAAAAGTTCTTTGCCCTTTCCTCTCCTTCAGAAGCAATGATCTTTTTTTTGGTACCGAACTCAAGCCCTTGCTCTTCCCAAGCAGATGTGGCACCACTGAGCTACGTCCCCAGCCAGGAAAAGTGATCTTTTTCTTTTAGTTTCCATAATACTATATAATTTTTGCTTGGTCATTCATTCAGTAAATAATTGTTGTTTAATTAGCCATGCCAAATAAATATAACAATCATGTTACTACCCTCATAGGCTATGGAAGGCGGAGACGTTAAATGAAGGGTTGTTGTGAAGTGAAAGCTATAACCAACTACAGGAAATATGGCTTTTATATATAGTAGAGGTTTTTCTGTGTATCTTAGTCTTTCAACACCCACAATTTAAAGGACATGAAGTTTATTCTGGCTCAAGTTTCAGTCCATAATCAGCGGGCTCCAAGGCAAGAATGGGCTAGCAGGAGGATTATAGCAGCCAGGAAGCAAAAAGTGAGAGTAGCTGGGGAGAGAGATGCACTTCTAGGTCACACCCTCAGTGACCCTCTTCCAACCAGGCCCCACCTCCTAACAGCACATTCAGCTACCGAACTCATCAAAGGATGTGTCAGCTCATGAATATAGGTCCAATGATCCAATCGCATTCCAAAAGCCTCATCTCTGAACACATGGGGCTTTGAGGGACTTTCTAGATTTCAACTCTCCCACTGGGGAATGAGCTGAAGTCTGAACAATCAGAAGAAAAAGTCAGCCTGACAAACAGAGGGGAGACAAACATCACAGGGAGAGGAAAGAGTGTAGAATCCCAAAGACGATGGTATGCGTTAGTGCAAGGAAGCCTTTGAAGTCCAGTGTTTGGGAGCAGAGAGAGTTGGGGGAAAGAAGGCAAGCAGATGCACTGTGGAGTCAGGCAGCAGGAGGCTTTTGCAAGCTCCTTAAAGTCTTATCGAGGATACTGTAGCCTACAGTAGGGAGAAGTTTTAATAAAAGTACTAAAATAATCAGATGGTGTTTTGATCTATTACATTGATTGTGAAATGGAGAACAGATTGGAGAAGAACATGAGTAGGTTAAGAAAAGCATAGAGGTTATTGAAGGAATCATGGCAAATGATTTTGATAAGTTAACCAGGGGTGTAACCATGGAGATGGAGAGAGGTAGTGAGATTGGAGTGTTATTTTAGAGGCAAAATTGACAGAACTTGGTGGTTTACTGTGAAGGAGAAGAAGGAACAAGGAAAACTCTTGGGTTTCTAGATTAAGCTGCTGGATTTCTATACAGGTTATGTTATATTTCCAGAGATGATTTGATTTTTATATTACCAATTAATATTTAGGATTACATTGATATTCTATTTAATGTGATCAAGCAGTATATAATGAGAACAAATGTAATGATATCTCAAATCAAGATATGGATTTTTAAAAATTATATTTAAAAGAATTTGTGGGATTCCAAAGACGTATGAGATATAAAATTTTTTGTTATGATAATGAAGACAAATAGCAGATAGTGGTACTGACTCTAACAGTAATAAATTCTGCTGCTATCCAACTCTTTTTTACAGCTGCTTTTTAAAGGAAGCTTTTGCATTTTGCTCCCCATTTTCCTGAGGATAGTAAGATTCACATCTCATTGTATTTAGCATATGTAATGCCTTAAAAATTAAAAATAGAACCTCCAAGCTGCAGAGATTCTAATGGAACATTTTAATAACTTCATTCCTTTGTGGTAATTAACTTTCTGAAGTGTGAGCTATTTTTGGCACCAGTTGCTCCTGAACCTTTGGGTCTGATTCTAATTCTTTCCACATCGCCATGATCTCTTTGCTGTGCTTTTTGAAATCAATCAGCGCTTTGAGGAGACAAAGTGATGCAGTGGAGGATGAGAACTAGGTTGTGGGGAGCATTTCTTCTCATATAAGCTGAGTTCTGTTCCGTGTCCAGGTGCAGAGACAGGGCGAGATGATTACCATTTAGAGAGTACAAAGGGAACCATTAGAGTAAGGGGAAAAAAGCTGACCTGTGTGATGTTATTTTAGAATGGATGCATTATTGTTTTCAGAATTTTTAACTCCACCAAGAAACAAATTACATTGAGGAAGTCTTGCTATTAAAAATTCCTGAAAATGGCAAGCAAAACTTCTAGTCTTGAAAACGGCAAGCAGCTTCCAATGTGGTTTCCTCACCCCCAGCCTCCCACTTTGATCTCTGAAAAGATCCAAAAGAGACCAGCAGAAACATTAAAAATTTGCATCAGGTTATGTTTGATAAGATTTAGAATGATGTCAAAATAGTGATCCCCACACTGCTCCCTGCCCTTAAAGGGAAAGTGAGTAAACTTAACCACTTAGATGAAGGTTCACTCTCCTGTTCCCGGGTTTTGGGATGCTGGAGTCTGCTTCAAAAGGTGGTTTCTAGGTTCTTTCTGTCCTGAGCAAAAGAATTGGTCAAGATAAGTGCAAACAGTGGCAAGGTTTTATGTTTATTAAAGATAGGAAAGAAACAGGCTCTACAGAGCGAGTCTGAGCCAAGTAAAACTAAAGAAAATAACAACAACAACAA